CTGTACCACAACGAACTCGAAAGGAGCAGTCAGAGAGGTAGGATCGGAGTATTAGATATAAGGACTGGGGTAGGTGGGTTTTGAGCTTGAAGAGTAGTCCGGTGTGCCATACGCGGTCGAAAGCTTGCTCAATGTCCAGGAATGCTCCCGAGCAATACTCTTTGCTTTCTAAGGCTGAGGATATGTGGTCAACAATTTGGAGTCCTTGTTGAACGGTGGAATGCTGGAAACGAAATCCGAATTGATGAGTAGGTAGGTTTTGTGATTCTATTATGGGTAGGATTCTTTTTAATAGGATTTTTTCAAATATTTTTGAAAAGATTGGGAGTAGGCTGATTGGTCTATAGGATGATGTGTTATTGGAAGGTGTTTGGCTGGTTTCAGGAAAAGACGATGGTGGAATGTTTCCATAAGAGAGGAAAATGGGTAATTCTTAGGATGCAGTTGTCTATAACTGTGAGGAATATGATCGCTTTGGGTGGTAGTTGATGAAGGATCTGTGTGGTTAGAAGGTCGTATCCAGGAGATTTGCGGTAAGATAATTTTTGCTCTCTCTCTCTCTCTCTCTCTCTCTCTCTCTCTCTCTCTCTCTCTCTCTCTCTCTCTCTCTCTCTCTCTCTTTTTTTTCTTTTTTTTTTCCTTCTTTCCCCCCGCTGTACCTTAGGGCAACCCTATACCAGCGGTACATCCAATTTTCTAACTGAAAAATATGCCACGAATTTAAAGGGCTCGGTCACCAGGATTGGTAACCAAGCGGGCAGGTCTGCTCTCACTTTGATCCAAATTCTTGGGTCAAAGTGAGGCAAAATTCGGTCTTTTAGTTTGATTGGGGCATTAATTATTACGGGTAAACCTACACTAATGGGCTGCCTGCAACTGGAGGGCTGTTCCCACCAAACAGGACTCCAGTAACTTCCTACCTACTTATTGTGGGCCTATTACTAAGTTTATATATACTATTTCTAAATCTTATGATAACAATAAATGTATGTATTTGGTATATCACCGGTTTAATCTTTCCTCTCTTGCTATTTTTTCATGGAATATCCTCCTGGCGTATTTCTTAAAGGCATCAAATATCTCAGGTGTCTCCACAAGCTTGTCCAGGGACCGAGGAGGTCATTCCAACATGGAGTACTCTCCTGCTAATGCTTATCGGGCGCCAGTGTACATTGGACATTCCAAAAGCATGTGTCTAGCATCCTCAACAGTCCCGCAGTGACAATTCGGATTGGCTCTTCTATGAAAAAAATGTAATTTTTCATTCATATCTCCATGGCCTGTGAGGAGTTGAACAGTCCAGAAATCCGTCTCCACCCAGTCATTCTTGATTCTTCTCCTAGCATCTGGGAAGAACTCGTGGGTCAGTCTTCCAGTCTCTCATGCATCCCACCTTCTCTACCATTCAGAAAGGGCTAGTTCTTCTATTCTGTCGGCTACTTGTTCAACGCAAAGCAGCTTGTTCCCACATTCGCTGACAATCCTCTCTTTATTCTATACTTGGCTATAGTTATTTGTGTTTTCAGGTCTATAGGCAATTGTCCCGTAATCACTTGCAAAGCCGAAGTGGGTGCCGTTCTATACGCTCCTGTCACCAGTAGAAGAGATCTTCTTTGAACTTGCTCCAGCACACTGATGTTTGACTGACTCAGTTTCTGGCCCCAGACCGGCGTCGCATATAAGGCAATAGGCAAGAAAGCAGCCTTATATAGCGTTTCCCGGTAACTATATTTGAGACCCCAGGTGGTCCCTGCCATCGTTTTAAGGCAGCTGTAACGAATAATAGTTTTGCTCTTAATCTCTTTTAGGTGGTTAGTGAAGTTACACCTCTCGCCCAATAGGACTCCCAAGAACTTCACTTCCTGAGATGGTTTTATTAGGACATCTCCTAACTTTACTCTGGAGAGAAACCCCACCATTTTCCCCTTCAAAAACAGGAGTCGAGTCTTCTGAAAATTTAAAGAAAGTTTATTTTCCTGGCACCATTGTAAGACTATGTCAGTGACTTCCGCTGCCCTTATTTCCAAATCTTGTCGTGATTTTGCCTCTATTCTAACAGCAAAGTCGTCCACATAAGCAGATGGCGTATACCCGGCAGCTCTCAATTTAACAAGGAGAGGGTTCATGTTGATATTCCATAGGGGGAGTCCCAAAACTGATCCCTGAGCACAACCCCGCTGGACTGGTCTCGTTATTCTCCTTCCCGGTAGTTGATAGTAGACAGAGCGCTTTGATAAAAATGATAATATGAGCCTGTATATATTTCTGGGGATTTTTAGTTTCTTTAGCTCGTCCATAATAGCAGGCCACCACATATTATCGAACGCGCCAGCAACATCATAGAAGAGGACTACAAAATATTTAGAGGGTGAGTCCTTAGCTGTTGATATGAGCTGGTTGATGGCATCCGTTGTTGACTGTCCTTTTCGACCTCCGAATTGATCAGGAGAGAGCAAGTCGATTACACCTTTTAAGCGTTGCAGCATTTGGCTTTCCAGGACTTTCCCCATTACATTTAGGAGGTATATTGGGCGGTACGATTTAGCAGTAACTTCTGTTATACCTGGCTTCAAGATGGTAACCAGCTCAGCCTGTTTCCAGATACAGGGGAAAATGCCTTTATTCAAGCATCGGTTGTAGAACGTAGTTAAAGGGTTAATCAGCGCGTTTTTTGTATTTCTCAGGATATTGGCTCCTATCATATCCGGTCCTGGTGCCTTTCCCGGTCGGAGTTGTCCCATACCCAGCTCCATCTCTTCCTCTTCCCATGGAAGTGCATCTTCGGTTTGCGGAAGTTCACACATTGCAATTCTTTTGTGTGCGTGTTTTTCTGTGCCTAAAGCTAGTTCGTCTTCAGGGAAAGATCTCACCATTATACCATTAACAACCTCATTTATCTCTCTCTCTCTCTCTCTCTCTCTCTCTCTCTCTCTCTCTCTCTCTCTCTCTCTCTCTCTCACTCTCTCTCTCTCTCTCTCATCTCTCATCTCTCTACTCTTTCTCTCTCTCTCTCTCACACACACACTCTCTCTCTACATTCATAATATGTCAATAAAGGTTTCTTGCACCTGACATGCTCCTCCATACTTGGACACTTCCTCAACGATGTCTTATTGGGTCCTCACATGTCGTGGTTGAAACGCGGTGTCAACTTTCTCCAAATGTACTTATGGTCCTCAGAATGGAACATATTAAATTTACTTTCGTCTGCAAAAAGTATCAGTTTTGTATAATTCTAGTTCTTTATTAACTTAACATTTGGTTTTTTTCGTCGAGTCTTTTTTTGCTGTTCATCTGTGTAATAAAAGTTTTTTTTTTAACCTGCCATAATAATAATATTTATGAACTAAATTTCGAACAGAAGGTGGTATTTGATGTAGATGCGACCTCTTCTGTTATCTCTGCGGCTGATAAAATGCCATTTTGCTCTATAATTCGATGGATATTCCTTTGTGCCTTCTCATTTAATTTTGATGGCCGTTCTGAACAGAGTTTGTTTAAATCTTTCTAAACTTTTTTACAGTATTTTGAACACTACTAAAACCAATTTCTAATGTATTCACTATTTTTCGGTAGCCATTAGAATGAAATTTTATTGTGTTTTTTTTTTCTAAACTGACACAATATTCACTGGTTTTTACCCATTTTTTTATGCCAGATATACAGCAAAAACTGGTTTTTATTATTTTCATTGTATTATCGTCAATCCTCGTTTCTAATCTGTTGAAAGAAAACGATTAATTTGGTTTTACTAGACTTAATAGTAAATTAAGTTAACATTTAAAACTGTGCCAATAATTTTTTGACCTTAAAAATTTACTCTATGTTTACTTTAAACACAGCTTTTGAATTCCGAATATTCATTGCTTTTAAAATATACTTCTCAAAGACCACTTTGTTATATATTATTACTATTATAATATTATTACTAAGAAATATCTTAATCCTATTGAGAATAACAGAAAAATTGGAGTGTGTCAATACTTTTTTAATCCACTGTACATATCTATACCATGTAATTATGGGAGCTCGGACTAGTACCAGTTCTTTATCTAGGAATGTGGGTTTCATTTTTTTAATTATGTGAAAATCTTTTACCAATGTTTATCGTAATGGAAGGAAGGAGACTCAGGTGGTACGGCCATGTGAGACGAATGGGCGACGACAGGATACCAAAGATAATAATATGGATTGAGAGGCAGCTGGTAGAAGGAGAGGAAGGCCCTCAGTTAGATGGAAGGATAGAGGGATGGAGAGTATGGCTGGTAGGGGACTGTCGGAGGAGGATGTGATGGACCGACAGAGGTGGAGAGACTTGCTAAAGGAGTTTGATTGAGGAAAATTTCATATTGAAGAAACTCCTAAATATAAAAACTTTACAAAAAGTTTTATCTTGCCGATTTTAAATTCGACTCCGAAGAGGTTTTGATGGCCGAGAGTGTAAAAGTCTCGTCACTTTATCAACCTCGAGTCTAGCGTTGCCGATTCGAATCCGTCTTGGGTTGATTGAAATTGTTTAAAGATGGAACCATAGAATGAATTCCAACCTTCCCACTCTGGTTAAAATAGGTTATATAAGTGTTGAACGACCCTCCCGTATACCAGAATAGCCAGGCTGAGAGTAAAACAAAAAAATCCTACTTCAACATTTGACGACAATGTCCATCATTTTCAAATTGACGACAATTTATACTCAGTGTACAACATATTGTTTTGTTTTTTTATTCCGCAAATTATTTCATTATTTATAAATGGTATGAATTTTTAAATGTTAAAGAAAGTTGAATAAAAAGATTAATATAAATATATACCTACTTATAATTAGAATCAGAGCCTATTGAAAGTATCAATCTAGAATAGTATTGCCAAGGGAACTGACCATCAAAAGATCTTTTATTAAATCGTTTTCTGCTTGTTCTTCATTGTTTTTCTAAAGATTTCATAAAATCCATGGGAGTTGCTTTCTGTGTACCTCTAGTGGTATCAGTTCGTTTCATATCGATATGTTGTGCAGTAGTTCAAAACATTAATTGTACTGTTTTGTTTAGAGCGTCTAGGGGTTTTACTATGTTTATTGGTGGTATTGTGCTGTCAGACTTGGTTATACCAATCTTTCAAAATTTACATAGTTTCAAAAACATTATTCTGTGCTTAACGTGAATATTTAACCAGTTCGTCATTTTATTTTTTCATTAAGTTTTTAAACAACTAATAGTTCGTTAAAAATCTTTATTATGGTAACATGAAAAGTACATTTTTTGGTTAGCTGTAAATTATTCATACAGGAGAATGATAGTTTTCGCTATATATTTTATAATATCTTCTTGTATATTTGCAAAAGGTAAGATAAGATTTACCTATTACAGGTATACCTTTTGCTATTTATCTTACTATATCATCGAACTTTTAAATTTTTCTTTTAATTTAATTTAATTTACTTTTAAATTTTCTTTTAAGGCATTTCTTTGGTTAATCACAATGGAGGAAATTGTGCTCCCTACTCTGGAAGAATTTGCAAAAATTATCTATCTGGCTCAGTTTGGTTTAACACGAGTGAAGCGAATTCTGGCAGTTGGCGAAATGAATATATTACTATTGGATTATGGGATGAGATAATTAGTACTCTCAGAAATCCCTGCAAAAGTGCTGCGGAAGTAAGACTTCTTATTTAATTTGACATACTATTGTGTTATAAAGTTTTCCACCTTTGATAATGTGGTAGTATCTCACGTGAATACAATTTACATGTATTAAAATAAGCATTTAATTCTTTTCTGTGCTTTTTTTTTCTCTCTTCTACCATAATAATAGTGTGCTTTATTTTGATTACAAAATAAATTCTATTTTTACAACATGCCATGCTAAAGTGTAACATTCATTTGTTTGTGAAATTATAGTATAGCTTACACCCATTAAGCAATGGGCTATTTGCCTGTCTGATCGGTTTGACATTTTTATATTTTAATTAAAAATCACTATATAATATTAAAAGATTCGCTTCTAATAATTTAAGACCAAAATTATACATTAATATAAACATTAACCCAATTACAAGATAGAATGAGCATACTTATACATAATTCCCATTTCCTTAATACTAACTCCATTTAAAATTCGAATAGATATAATATAATTACAATATAGCAATATAAATAATAATATATAAACAATCAATAGAGTTAGTTATAATACTACACTTCATGTGTGTGAAAGGTTTTAATATTAGGATACATACTTTTTTTACAAATGCTCTGTTTTGTTTGTTCAGAGTATAAGACAGTCTGAACTAAGATTGGTGGTGATACTATAGTAGTGTCATGTTTATTTTGGTGAGGGAGCCCAAATCACATTGATAACATTGTACATGAGATACCGAAACTGTCCAAGTGTGTTTAAAGATATATGTAGAGAACCATCTATTCTCTAAATCTTCCTTTTACTGTAACATATAAATATAAATTATAGCTTAAACTGATTTATGAAAAATTTTGAAAGTTATTGTACATTACAATGTATCAAATTTGATGTTAAAACAGTAAAGATTGACTTAATAATGTTACAGCATAAATGAATAAATAAAATGATCAAATTTAAAGAAAAATAATAAATAAAAGTGGTGAATTCAATCAATTTTATTTTTGTTTTTAGGCCTGTTGACTTTGACTTTTAAGTAATGAGCCTTCTGTTATAGGCGACAGTAGTGATCGTTTGGTTCTGTCTTCTTTGAGATATCCAGAGAGCACATATTTTACTAACCGGGCGCGATCACATTTCACTCCCTCTTCATCAGGGACTTTCCTGAATTATGGTTGGCAATCTTTTGCTTCAATCTTCTACCCAGTTTTTTTATTGGAAAGGGGATTATCAGCCCTATACCCAACCCCCACCCCCACCCTGGAGGACACTAGGTGCTATGGTGTAAGATGCAGGGGTCACACAGCTCCCTATGAATCTCAGGGTGGGGTCGATAGCGTCTCCATGGGAGAATCAAACCCGTGCCGTAGTTGTCTAAGTAGTTGGGTAGGGTCTGCATTTTTATTAATTTTAATTTATATTAATTATTTGTTTAATAATTTTTTTTGGGTTATTAATATCCGCAAACAAAAGGTGTAATTTGATTTGATGTTCCAAACAGGTGATGAATGAATAACATAAGACTTTATTAACTTGTTATACTATTCTTTAGTTTTTTAACTTGTACAGATTTTGGTTTTTATATGCTTACCATTATTACATTTTATTATACTTTCACTAATCAAAATAATAGTTTTTTTGTATATATCATATTGTTGTGGTGTTTATAATTGTGTATAGTAGTCATTTTAATTATAAAATTTTGTTGGTTATCATTCTTACACTTGAATTAATAAATAGTATGTATTAGAATTACTTGCCATATACTCAATATTTGTAGTTGTTTACAAATCAGGAAATTTGCAGAGATTTCTTATATGCATTGATTTATGAAATGCTTTACTATTGCATGTTTGTATAAATCTTATTTGTCAGGAATTTTTGAAAAAAAACTCTAAAACTATGAAGCATTTGATTTACTATCTTAGTGAGTATGCATAGCATTAAATGTTGTGATAGGCGATGGTACAGCTCCCCAAGGAGCTGCTTGCAACAGTTACCCTTTGTGAGTTGTAAATTTACTGTCGAGGTTATAAAATAAATGTTTCTAGAGGCGATTCATTAATAAAGAGATTTTTATTGCTTTATATATTTCTTGTTTTGGCTGGGTATTGTTAAGTTGATTGATTACATTAAAAACTTCATGTTGAGGGATTTCCATTTTTTAGTTGTTATTTACCTCTTAACAGCCTCAGGCATTCCTATGAATTTGATGATATGCATTGATTTTTAAAAATATATGCCATTTACCCAATGCCTATTATTGTTATAAAAAACAGGGTCAGGCTAATTGCGGCAATACTCCTTAAACTTGTTGATCAACTCTAGTTTCTCAAAAAACCCATGTATTGCATTTTTTTCTTTTTATGGCCTTTCCCACTGAATGAAAAATGAAATACTTTAGATGTTATTCTTTCATTTAAATTCATTTCATCTGTGTACTAACTAAATTTATGTTTCATACAATCCGTTCAATTTTTGTTATTAATTTTTTTCAGAAATTGTTGTGTGCCTACGCTTTTCCACAATGTGTGGTAAAACCTAACAGTACAGTTGCATTACCTTTATGCTATGAAGACTGCATTGCTGTGAAAGATTTATTTTGTTATAATGATTGGGCATTAATTGAAGAAAATAAGAAGAGAGGAAGTTTTTTAAAATCGAAAGGACATTTTTCATTGCCTAATTGTGATGAATTACCAAAATATAATCCTGAAGTTCCCACCTGTTCTTACACAAAGTTGACTGAAATGAAGAAAGATGAAATTACTAGTAAGATATCATTTTTACTTCTGGTATTAAATCTATTAATTAAACATTAAATCACTTTCAGTTTAAAAGTATTAAGTATTGGGTTGGCAAATAAGTCCTTTCAGTTTATCTGTTTATTTTTATGTCACTTTGATATAGAATAGAATAGAAAATAGAACTTTATTCTGCGACTAAGTCCCCTTAGAATAACAAAAGATAAATTAATACAAAATAAAATACCAATCTGGCCAAAAACTAACTTATAAAAATTCTAAAATAATATACATTATTTAAAAAGTAGTATGTAACCACTAAGAAATAAACAAAAAAAATATACACACACGTGTATATATATATATATATATATATATATATATATACATACATACACATACATACATATATATATACACACACACACACAAACACACATATACACATACATACACACACATACACATACATACATACATATATAAATGAACATACAATCTTCTCCAAATTTACTTATTATTACGATTAAAAAAAAAAAAAAAGACAGAAAAGAAATTACATATCTATATATACATAACTATACAATTTATAAACAATAGGCTATCTAATAGAAACATAATTTAATACAAAATGTAATAATATTTACAGTGATTCATACAATAATAAGGAAACACTAAGATAAAATAAAATCTCAGGAATAATTGTGGTATAAAGGTAAAAAAGGAACTATATATACGTACTTACTCATATTGCTACGTAGTGAGACAAAAATTATAAAATATAAACATATATACATGAAAGAAAAAGCACAACCTGAGGTGAAGAGAAATACAAATAAATAGTAAAAATAATAATCAAAAATCATTGCTGTTTTATGTTAAAACTTAAACTGTAGGCATCACCATTTACTTCTCACACATTCAGTTCATAAAATGAAATTTATGGTTGCGAATCGTCTGTTTGGGATGTGAGGAGATATTGGAAAAGGAGGTATTTGAAGGTTGACAGTGAAGAGGCATGACGGATGTTATGTGGCAAAGAATTCCAGTAGGTGACTGAGCGGGCTAAGAAAAAACGTTCATAGGTTGTTGTCTTGTGTAATGGAATATAGAGGTCAGAATCACGGGATCTCGTTTTTATTGAGTGGACTAAAGGTTTCGGCTTGAGGAGACAGTAGATATAGGAAGGGTGCTGGGAGTTGATCGTTTGATATAAGAAATTTCCAAGGAAGTATAGGCGGCGGGAAGAGGGGAAGAGCCACTTTGACTTGGAATATAGGTGGGACACATGAGACCACCTCGAAGTGCCGAAGACAAATCTTAAAAAACAGTTCATGATTCTCTTCAGTCTGTCCTCAAGCTCCAACGAGAGGCCACCATGTACCACACAGCCATAGTCAAAGTAGGGGAAAATCAATGAGGAAACGAGGAGCTTGCGGATAGGTTGTGGGAGATGCTGACGAGAATGATGAAATAGTTTAAGTGTACCAATTGACCATCTGGAGATATGAGCAATATGGGGTTTCCATGATAGGTTTTGATCAATGGTAATTCCTAAGGTTTTTACAGAGGGGGAGAAAGAGATTGGTTGGTCATTAATAAATCAAGGAAGGAAGAGTGGAGATGGATCTAAGGTGGGTGTTGGAACCTATAAGAATTGCTTGAGTTTTTGATGCGTTTAAGTTTAAATTATTCAAGCTTGCCCAGGCACTGATCCTATCTAGGTCTTTCTGAATATTCATAAACGCTTCTAATAACTCAGTGGGCGGAAAGGAAAGATAAATTTGGGAGTTATCAGCATATAGGTGGTATGAACAATGGTCGATTGAACTAGGAATTAAAGGTCATTGATGTAAGAATTAAAAAGGATAGGAGAAATGCTTGAACCCTGGGCTACTCCATGAGACAAAGTGAGGAAAGAAGATAAGGGTTGATTCGGAATACTAACAGCTTGAGTCCTGTCAGAAAGGAAGGATTGGAACCATAGGATAGAACTATTGGAGAAGGATAGTGATTTTAATTTAGTGTAGAGGATAGAATGGTCTAAGGAATCGAATGCTTTGGAGAAGTCCAGGAGTACCAATACAGTCAGTTTTCTTTCGTCAATTGCAGTATGTATGTCGTTTGTGATTTTGACTAAAGCGGATTGAGTGGAGAAGCCCGGGCGAAAGCCAGATTGGAGAGGATCTAAAAGTTTGAACTCTTCGAGAAAATTGGAAATTTGGGATTGGACAATTCTTTCGAGGGGTTTTGACAGATTTGAGAGGATGGAAGTTGGACGATAGTCTTTAGGAGGTGTGGGGTTAGGGATTTTGTTAATAGGACGGACCAAGGCTTTTTTCCAAGATGTAGGGAAAACAGAATTTTGAAGGGAAAAGTTATAAATGAATAGAAGAACTGGAAGGATTTCAGGGAGGCATAATTTTAACAGTTTGACGGGTATTCCGTCAATTCCTATACAGTCGGATTGGGATTTCATTATGGAGGAAATAAGGTTCGTAGGAGTGATGTAGGAAAAATAAAAATTGTCACTATTAAATGCAGACCATACAGATATATGGGAAGAGGCGGGAAAAATATTACTAGAGGAGGAGGATAAAAAGTAGGAATTTAAAGCATCAGGAGAGACTAGGACAGCTGTGGAAGAAGATGATTTGCAAAGAGACAGCTTTCGGAGTAAATTCCATTTGGATTTGGAATCGGGAGCCGAGGAGAAGGCTTCATGATAGTAATTGGTTTTCGCCAGCCTGATCGTTGTTTGCGTCAAGTTACGAAGTACCCTGAACGCTTCGTAGTCATCTGCAAGCCTGGTTCTTCTGAAGAGTCTATGGGCTGCCTCACGTCTCTTTTGCATATTTCGAATTTCTTGACACATCCAAGGAGCAGGCTGGTGGCAGAATGTAGAGGTTTTAAGTGGGGCATGGGTATTGAGGATCTGGAGGAGATTAGAAGTCAGGATATCTACCATGGTATCAATTGAGGAGCTGGTGTAAACATCATTCCAATTCAGGGTTTTGATATCGGGTAAGATGCTTTCACGGGTTAGGGAATTTATATTGCGGAAGGTTATTGTTTTAGGAAGGATCGCAGGGGTCTGGATATTGTATGATACTTGGATGAGGTCATGTGAAGAGAGGAAGGGAACAAAAGATTCTGCACAGAATCGATGATAAACAGGTCCAGCCATGTATCAGACCAGCAAGTGTGATGAGTAGGAGCAAATGGTACTACGAAGAGGTTAAGGGAGTAGAAAAGGTTTTCCAGGTAGTGTTTGTCGTGGGAATCGGAAAGGAGGTTAGCATTAAAGTCACCGGAAACTATTATGTTACTGTAAAAAGGGATAAATTTGTATAGGGTAGATTCAAAGGATGGGTCGAAAGGTACCAGAGGAGGGCGATAAACTACAACGTATAGGAGAAGATGGGCTTTGAAGGAAATTTCAACAAAAAGATATTCCATGTGGGGACAATTGGAAGGGAGTGAGATATTTAGGATTCGGGATTTTAGGCTAATATGGACGTAAATCAGATATACTTCTTATCTGATGAATTAATCCCTAAGGTGGATTGTTTATCCTGTTTTATAATATATCAACAACTATATCTGTCATCTTGTTGAAACTAGCTTAGTATTGTGTTTGCTATTGCACTGCGAATACGGAAGAAAATATTCATTATTGGCATATTTTGTTGTATTATTTTAAAAAAGGTAAGTGTTCTGCAGAAGATAATAGAAAAAATTGTAGTGTTTATGGGGATGATGCCTTAACCAAACTCACATATCAAAATTGGTTTGCCAAATTTTCTTCAGGAAATTTTGACATCAATGGTGCTCAGCGGTCTGGTCTCCCACATGATATTGAAACGAGCAATGTTAAGGCCATTGTTGATCAAATTCCCACTTAATCAGTGCAAGAGATTGCTATGGCTCTAAATGTGTCACACACAAGTGTAGAAAACCATTTGCACTTGCTCAGCTATGTTTCCAGTCTTAATGTTTGCGTCCCTCACTCTCTACTCTCTAACTGATTGGTAACATCCAATTCTGTTTGTGATTCACTATGGAAACTGCAACAAAACAATCCTTTTTTAATAAGGTTGGTAACAGGAGATGAAAAATGGATATTATACGATAATGTAGTCCGTTGAAAATCTTGGGGACCTAGTAGTGAAGCTCCTAGAAGAATATCAAAATCCGGATTCCATATGGTGGAATTTCAAGGATGTTATTTTCTATAAGCTATTGCCATCAGGACAAACAATTGATTCAACTCTATACTGCTCACAATTAACAAAATTGGATCAATCAATTAAAAAAATAAATGCCCAGAACTGGCAAATCGGAAGCACTAGCAGATCTGTGGGGGGCGCCCTCCCTCCGGAAGCTGGAAAAAAAATTCCAAAAAGCAGATGTTTAAAGATAAGATAAATATAAGAAAAATTCATCCTCATAGATGACGAATTTCCCAATGTAATATAAAAAACAATTATAACATGACCAGCGCTAGCAAATTCTGCCAGGGGGTGCATCCCTCTCTGGATGGTAGAAAAATAATTCCCAAAAAATTATCCAAAAAACAGCTGTTCAAAGAAAAGAGGAATATAGGAAAAATCTTCCTCTCAGACGAATTTTCTTATGTGATTAATATCATTATCTCAATCCATTACTGGATCTTTGGCTGCTTCAAGAGGTTTCCTCCATGTTTTCCTTTTCTGAGCAGCCTCCACCAGTTTCTGATTCCATGTTTTCTGGCATCTTCACTTACTCCATTTTCCATCTCAGGTTCAGTCTGTCCACTTTTCTTTTTCCAACTGGCTCCATACTCAGCAGCTTCTTTAAGTTTGAGGTCTCGTCCATCCGTACATGTCCCTTCGATCTGAGCCTAATCCGGATATATTTCACCACATCCGGCTCCTTGTATAAGTTAACTAGTTCTTAGTTGCGTCTAATTCCCAATTCACATTCTCCTTAACTGGGCCAAATATCCTCTGAAGGACATTTATTTCGAAAACTAATATTTTAAGCGCCTGTTTAATGAAAAGAGAAATATTGGGAAAATTCATCCTCATAAACGAATTTTCTAATATAATAAATTAAAAAAATATATTATCGTGACGAGTACTAATGAATTCTGCAAGGAGGGCGACTATCCCCCTGGATGTTCGACAAAAAATTCTGAAAAAGTTCCAAAAAGCACCTATTCAAAGAAAAGAGGTATGTGGTTTTTGGGCTGCCATGAGATGCAAAGACTTGTGCTCCTGTCGCAGTTTGTGCCTATTGACTCCAAACTGAGTCTCACAGGTGAAATACATTAAAAAAATAAACTTCATTTATTCTTTCGAGCACAAGAAAATATGGGGTTTCTCCCGGACCCTGTTTTTATTCAGTTCCAATAGATCTGGGTGCATTGCAACTTCCAGTAACTATAGTCTCATTGAAGAATTCATGTGATTCTTAAAACTGGCCACGATAATAATTTGTACATTTTTCATTAGAGAGTGTTGTTCTTTTCTTGAAATAGCTGCTGTTGGAAACGTTTTCATGAAGGAAGGTACTAATTATTTGGTCTCTGATTAGTTCGGAATCAGATATTATTCTGAGATTTTGTTCTTAGAGAACTCATTACCTAGCTACAGAGCCATTTATGAGTATAGTAATATAAATTTTGATGTTTTAGTCCTTCATTTTATTAGAAATGTGTATTCATAATTTTTTTTATAGCTGACTGTATTATTGGCCGTGGCAGATGGTATCAAGGAACCAAAAATGTCACAAAGACTGGTTTACCTTGTCAACGTTGGGATTCTACTGTACCTCATTCTTATGATCGTCCTCCAAATGTATTTCCTGAGGTTCAGAATGCTGAAAACTATTGTAGAAATGCCGGTGGTGAAGAACCAACACCTTGGTGCTACACAATGAATCAGTCAGTGAGGTGGCAGCATTGCGACATCCCATACTGCGGTATGCATATAAAATTCTTTATTTCATAACTTAATGACCTATTAATTTGTATTTATAATTGTTTATCTATTCTTGTGAGTTAAGACTTGTGACTTAAATAGTATGATTAAAAATAAAATGAGAATAGACAGAAATAAAATTGGTAAATTAAACATTAAAGAATGTAAAAAAATCTGGTGTCCGCATCACACAACTTTCACTTACCATAAATAAGTGAACTTTCTTCTTAGCATAAATAAGTATTTTCAGACAAAAGGGAAGTGAAAGTAACAATTATTGATGCTATATTTATTTACTATTCATTGTGGGTATTTTTATTTGTTTAAATACCCTGCTATATACAAATTTTAATTTTTATAACACTGTATTTTATACAATTAAACATTAAATAATACCAATGATTGAATTTATAAAAAACGTATATGTATATGAACATAATATTGTCGGAGTCCGTATTTTGCGTATATGAAGTTCATGTTACGTATTGAAGTCTGTTATAATCTTTCGGGCGAGCTTATATTCCTTTGACTCCTCTATTACAATTATTATCCTTTACGATCTTTATTTCTCCTTTAGTTAATTATCAAATTCTTTCATATTTTATATTTAACTATTTTTTATATCTAAGATTAATGTGAAAAGGTTAATTATTTCAAATAAAAAAAAAATAAAGATACTTTAGAGGAAGCCAATATTGAAAATTAGCCATTTAAGCCCTGATAGAGAATATTAATGAGAATAAAACCTACATTATATTAAAAACTGCTTAATAATACACTGATATTCTGAGTTTAATCAAAATTGTTAGATCCATTTTTGTGAAAATTATAAATATGTGTTAAATCGATTATATAAAATACCACTTCTGGTTTGCCGATTTTGATGAAAATGTTGATGTAACATCAAAAGCTTATAAAAACCTTAAATTTGCAATTTCATTTTCATACGACTTCGTTTTTGAGCTAGACTAAACACATACACACGCACACGCACACAGACACACACACACGCATGCACGCACCCACGCATGCGCACACACACACACATATACACACCATTTTGCAGGACACGATGGCATTACTCACCCTTACTATATATTGCATATATACGTATGTGAAAGTAAAAATTATGGGTTAATTATTTAAAATCTAATTATTTAAAATACCCTCACGGACATGACGTAGACGTCCCTGATGTCAGTCAGACTTTTTTTTGTGATACTAGGTCAAGAATTAGCGTCTATCAAGGAATGATGCGGTTGTCTTTATTGGTGACTTGAATGCTCAAATCTGTGCTGCGCCTGCCCTGCGCTCAATTTGTGGCCGGCCTTAAAGTAGCTGACCTGCAAGCCCTTAGAATATTCGAAAGGAAAATTATGAGACGTATTTTGGGTCCAATTAATGAACAAGGCACATGGCGCATTAGGTGTAACTAGGGATTGGATGACCTGATACAGCATGAAGATATTCGAAGCTTCATTAAATATAGAAGAATTAGTTGGCTAGGTCATACTAAGCGAATGCCAGATGAAAGAATGCCCAAAAAATTTCTGTGCGAAACATTCTCAGGAAAAAAGAAAGACGGGAAGCCCACCTAAATGCTGGATTAAGGACGTATGAGGGTGGTCTGAAATGTTTTCGACCTAACAATAATACAAGACATTTTTTCTGAATTTTTTTTTTATTTTTCAACATAGTCTCCTTGTAACTTTACACACTTCTCCCAGCGGTGCCCCCATCTCTGTTACCCCTCCAAGAAGTACTTGGAAATTTCTCTGCAAAATAATTCTTTACGAAGGCGATTGCTTCTTCATTTGACGAAAATCTCTGTCCTCCAAGCTCAATCTTTGGATAAGGGAACAAACAAAAGTCGCTTGGGGCTACATCTGGTGAGTAAGACAGATGGTCAAGCAGTCCAAACCGTAATTCTTGAATTTTCGCCTTAGCAACCGCTGAGGTATGAGATGGTGCGTTGTCGTAGTGAAACAGAATTTTCTTTTTCTGCAAATGTGAATGTTTTTCAAGCAAGTTCTGCCTTTAGCTTGTCAAGTAATGATGTGTAGTATGCTCCTGTAATGATTTTTCCTTGTTGAAGATAGTCGATTAAAATAACTCCATGACTATCACAAAAAACAGTCGCCATCACTTTCCCAGCCGAGAAAACAGTTTTTGCTTTTTTTGGAGCCGGTTCCCCCTTTGCAGTCCACTATTTGGACTGTATTTTTGTTTTGAGCGTATAATGGTGTATCCCAGTTTCATTTACAGTAATTAATTGGCACCAAAACTCGGATTTATTGCGCCTAAACTGCACGAACAGAATGTTGGAAATGTTCATCCGAACACATTTTTGGTCTAACATCAGCCAAACGCAGCACTCAACGTGCGAACAGCTTTTTCATATCTAAATGTTGATTTAATATGTAACAAACATGTTCTTTTGACATGTTCATAACCTCTGCTATCTCTCTCACTTTAATTCGGCGGTCGTCTAGCACCATTTGGTGAACTTTGACGATGTTTTCATCGATAGTTGCAGTTTTTGGAAGTCCCGAAGGTTCATCATCTCCCAAGCTGTTACAGTCAGGTTTAAATTCAGCTGCCCAAAATTTCACTTTGGTAAATGATGGTGCAGTGTCTCCATACACAAAATCCAACTCATCTTTGATTTGCATAGGCATATTGCCGTTCAAAAACAAATATTCAATGACAGATACTCGATTTTGTCCATTTTCACAAAAACATTCACATCAACTCACTCAAACGACTGTTACATAAAAACTGCGCATCTAAAATGGCTGAAACTTTAGGTGGGTAACTGTCAACAGATGAACAACAAAATTCACTTGCTTTTATTTACGAGTGCTGCCATCTTCATGTTGTGGTCGGAAACTTTTAAGACCATCCTCCTAGAAGAGGACTTTTGCTAAAATTGCAGTGACCAACTGGAAGAAACAGGCCATGTACAGAGAATTCGCCTACAGGCCTACAGGTGAAACATTGTTGGAGAGACCAAAGTTCACCTTGGACTGTAGAACCGGAGAAAAAGATGTCAAAAAATATTAGACCCATGTCTGAGGATTCTTGCCAATGCGCAAGTTTTTGCGCAAGCCAATGCGCAGGTCCTAGGACCTGAGAAACAAAGTATTCAATATAATTTATGTTATTAATTTTTGCCTTTTCTTTGCAGGAATTTTTAGGTTATTAGATATTAATAGATTTCTTTCTTTGTGCAAAATAAGGAAAAAAAAAATTGATTATGGTATTAAATGATTTGTGAAGTATCTTAATTAACAAAAACCAAAAGGCGCTTCCTTGGCCAGTAAAGTAAACCAAGTAAATTTTTGTTATGAAAAAGAATCTTCCGTTCATGTTTAGTGTTCTTTAAATCCTTAAATACAAATTTTTATCGAAAATAAAAATTTAAAATTTTAGCTCATGATTTTCTAGGATTGTTTTTCCAGCCAATAACTAAAACATTCATAACTTCTCAAGATTTTGCTCCAAATTCAACAAAAGTACAACTGTTGGAAAAGCTGAATTAATGCTCTTCCTAACCACATCAATAAGTTCAGGATTTCATTCCGTTTTAAGCTAGAACTTTAGAAAAACTTCTCAAATATTTTTGTTTCATATCTTAGGTTCTTATTTGTTTAAGGAGGTCAAGTTTGTACCATTGCATGTACCTTATAAAGCTCTACATACCTAATAATTTTTGTGCCTATCGGCGGAGAAATGGTGAAGTTATCATAATTTGTGTTGTTGTCAACGAAGTTTCGAAGGGTCCTTTGCCTTTGCAAAAACCTGCTCAGTATTTAGAGTAAATATTTTTTGTGTGAGAAACAAAGTTGATATTTGTTTTTCGCACAGATATATTTTTTTCTCAGTTACTAGGGAGCATTGGCGAGAATCCTTGGACATGGATCTATTAGTCTGTGGGCTAGACCCCCCTACTGTGCACCTCTCTCCCCCACATCCCTATAACGCATATGTATGGGTTGTGTTCCTTGTAACTACTCATTAATAAAAAGCCAATGTTCCCACAAAAAACAGTGAACGCAGTGCCCAAAATGGCTTCCTAACATGGAGGACTGATGACTTGAGTTAGTTTTTTGGTCTCTAAGAATCAGCATTTGGCATTTGTCTTAATTTTGTTATAATTGATCTTTTATAAAAGCTGGATAGTCAGAGAATAATTAAACATGTAACAATATTAAAAAATAATTGGCTTAGTTCATAAAAAAACCCGCATAGTAAATTTTTCAAAAAAAAATATAATGTTCAAGTTGAAAATCAACCATCGTTTGTAATTAAACGGTCAACAATAAAGGAAAATGTCCTGAAATAAAACATCTGGATGGTATATTTCTCTTTCTAAAACATTAATAATTTCTTAAAATATTTGAAGCGGTTTCATAGAAAATTCACTTAATCGGCGGAAAAGCGGTACTGGGGTTGGTGCCTGCAGGCCTCTGCCACATCATTGGTACTCATAAATGGCATAGTTATAATGCTATAATAACGTTTTTGGTACATTATATTGATAGTATTAACAAACAAATATTAATGCAATAATTTAATTGTAAAAAAAAATTTAACATTTTTGTTTTATATTACTTCCTTTATTCTATACGGAGGTCATTGAAGAAGGCCTCTTTTGTAAAAATGATATAATTATAATAGTAAAACTTAATTCAAAAATACTTTGCTGAATATCTTGAATTTTTTATTTAACGTTTGCAATTTAGATGAGTTAAATTGTATATACTTTTCTAGAAATGAGTCATATTAATACCTGTTGTATAAACTAAAACATATACTTAATCTGAACTACATATAATGAATAGTTGCCGGGTTGTTTAGTAAAACTCATATATCTCTAATAAAATAATTAATTTGATTTTATTATTTCGTTTATTTTGTTCGGATTTCATTCGTTTTTTTGGCCATATCATTAAAATACAGGAAATTTTTATATTGAATGTTTTTTTTCTCTCTGCACAAAGAAAGGTGGAAATGACAAAATTGTATGTTCTTCTTGATAACTGGATCTAATTATTAGTATTTGATATCAAAATGAGGGAAAACGCGAAATTGAACCCTTGCCAACATTCTGTTTGTCTGTCTACTATATATTCGTTTAGTCATAGAATGAATACTAAACCTTAGCTATGTAGATGAGATTTTGGAACCTCCTATCCTATGCCTATCCTCAACGAAATCGGCGATCGTTCTATTCTAATGCACGATAATGCACGCCCACATGTCGCCCGCATAGTGCAGACATTCCTTCAACAGAACAATATTGAGGTTTTAGCCTGGCCAGCACGTTGTCCAGATTTGAACCCCATTGAGCATTTATGAGATAACCTCGGAAGACGAATAAGAGCGCGTGCAACACTTCCTGATACACTGCAGGACCTTGAAAGGGCTCTTTGGGAGGAATGGGCTATCCTCCAGCAAAGGGACATTTCCCGACTGGTGGAAAGTATGCCGAGGCGTCTTCAAGAAGTAATGAAGGCAAGAGGAGGAAACACGCGCTACTAAACGATGATGTAATTAATTTCTTTTAGAATAATAATGGTTCGTTTTTCAATTTTTTTTTCTCTAATCTTTCTTACCCAATCACATTTTGATTATTAAAGGTAAAAAAAATTATAAAATTCCATAAATACTAAGTATTATCTACAAATACCATATATTTGTAGATACAATACAAATACCATGTATTTGTACCATATTATATACAAATACAACTTTACAGAAATATTTTTAGATGAAAACATGGAAAATCAAGTGGGTAGAATTTTTTGCCTATCAGTGTATATACTTAAGATTAAGTATATGTTTTAGTTTATAAAACAGGTATTAATATGACTCATTTCCGGAAAAGTATATACAATTCTCCAGATGTTTTCTTTCAGGATGTTTTCCGTTATTGTTGGCCGTTTAATTACAGACGACGCCTGATTATCAACTTGTACATTTTTTTTTTTAAATATTTACTTTACTGGTGTATTTTATTAACTCAGCCAATTATTTTTTAATATTGTATCATGTTTTATTATTCTCTCAGGATCCAGCTTTAATAAAAGGCCAATTATGATAAAATTAAGCCAAATACTGATTCTCAGTGACCAAAAAACTAACTAAAGTAAAAGTCGTCAGTACATCATTTTGGGGCAGTGCATTTTTGTGGGAACATTGGCTTTTTTATAAAAAATGAGTACAAGGAACACAACAATGATATGCAATTTATAGGGATGTGAGGGGTTGCACGGAAGGTTGCTGTCTGGCTTACCGTGTATTATATTTTTCGACTTAATATCACCAAAATAAGTTTCATTGACCCCACTCCTGTAACCTCTCCTTGTAAGTAAATTATACACCAATCAAAAATTATAAAGTGAAGCTCTATAGCAGTTTATTGATTGAATGTGTTGTGCACCAGGAAAGAAAAAAAAAAAATTACTTTGTTAAATTTAAATGAGAGAAATAACCACTAGAAAACAATTATACCACACCGAACCCATTGGGTATGCATATCCTTTCTTTAAATTGGAATTCACTATGCCATTTGTCGTCTTTTAGTCCTTGGTTAAAATTTTAAATCCTCCCTAAAACTCAAATTACTTACTACCTGGTGGTTGAATAAAATAAAACTTTGGTAGTACACTCTTTCAGTGTTCTCTATATTTCTATTTGTTTACAGTATTCTACTAATTATATCTTTATTCATAAAAAAAGAAGTAACATATTCCTTTAGCAAAGAAACCACAAAAGCGAATGAACTAGTACAATTAAGTATTTGGCCTTTTTAAGAGAATGTAGTAATTATTTATTTCTGTATATGTGTGCTGATTTGTAATTTATGTTTAATTCATTCTTCTAGATGCCCCAAGTGGAGTTAAAACAGAAAATACTGAACTAATGATGGATACCTTGTTTGCCCCTGCCTATGTGATGCTATTAGCAGCTGTCGGGTTTATTTCAATTGTTATTATACTACTTTTAGTACTTCTTTGCCAAAGACTGTTTCATAATCGGAGGGTATATCATCCAACACCTACTAGGGTAATTATAGCTAATGTTTTTATAATGCTTCAGATTTAGTGCTTATGTTTATAATAATCATTATTACCTTTTTGCTTAATATTTTTATGAACATGCCATTTAACAGAATGCTAATTAATATTTAAATAGTTTGAAGGATGTAATTTAATGCAACAAAAATAAAAATCGTGCAATTTGAGGCAAAAATGGCACTTTGGAAATATTTTCACACAATCTTATTATTGAATACTCTAATTTATTAAATAAATATTAATTTATTTGTTAAATTAGGTATTTTACAAAATAAAACGAAACAAAAACACACAAAAGTATGCAATCTTATAATAAAGTTCTGGACAGTAAGAGGTTTATTAAATAAATCTCTTTAAAAATATTGGAATAATGTTAAAAGGTTGGTATTTGCTAATTCAAAATTAAGTATACATAAAACGTTTAATTTTATTAAAGATAAAATTATAATTATGAATATGTTGAGATTATTTGAATTGATCTAATTAGAACAGATTTGAATATATGTGTATATGTATATATATATAAGTTAAGGTACGGAGCGGGACATTATTAGCTTTCATACCAAAAGCACTAATGTAAAAATTCTCAGAATGTATATATAAAGGATTAGAAGTAACAATAAACCAGTCTTGATTCCGACTTGATGCATTTCATTTCGTGAACTTATTACTTTTTTTTAATTGTTTCAAGTCCGTTACACTTAACTGGTGCCAAAACGCGGGACGTCGAGAGTGCGGAGGTATGTTTTTTTTTTCAATAAGATAAAAATTCAGAAGGATGCCTGAAGAAGTGGCACTGAGGCCGGCGGCCCCTCTGAACATACCGGAAATCCCTCCATTACCGCAGGGAACGTTAGCCACAACACACGCAAATGCGATAGAATGGATGAAGATCAGATTAGCCACTGCACAGGACCTGAGGAAGGCTGTATCCGATCTCGAGCACTTCACAGGAGAAACAGGTGAGCTAAACCATTTCTTAAAAGATGGAGATCGTCTGATGGCGAGAATAAATGCGAAGATAGGAGAAAATCTCATCAACGTTGGAGACGTGGAGGCCCTTAAGGCGGCTTTAGTGTGCAGGGTAAAAAGACGTATCCTAAACCACATCCAGGCGGATGAAGAGACACTTCGGGAAACAGTCAAAGAAAGGATGAAGAAGGCGTACAGAGGCGGCAGGTGGGCCACAGAAGAGGACATTTTTTAAATGTCCTAATGTGTATCCTAAACCACATCCAGGCGGATGAAGAGAGACTTCGGGAAACAGTCAAAGAAAGGATGAAGAAGGCGTACAGAGGCGACAGGTGGGCCACAGAAGAGGACATTTTTTAAATGTTCCGAGAGATGAAATATTGAAGGCAGTCAAACGGACAGTATGCTGGAACACTCTTAGCTCATTATAACTGTATTACGGAGAAGATAAGGGAAACTGCAGGTGTTCCAGAAGTAGAAGCCTTCTTGTCTACAATACTTTAGGTGCAACTGGCTAAAGAAACCGGGAAGAGGGAACGCACATTCATAGAATGCACACAAGAGATGGCAGATTCCAGCGCCAGAGAGGAGGAAACCCGGTTAGAAGTGGAGGAACCAGGATGGAATAGAGTATTCTATATAAAACCTAGAAGTACACCAACAGCCTGGAAAAGGAGGGAGTCTGCATATAGTGTTAGAGAGAAACCAATAGGAGCCAAACGAAGACCAAGGAAAGGCAGAGTGAGAGCTAGACAAAGGAAAGAGGACAGGAGATGTCATGGCTGTGGGAAGAGCGGACACTTGATGGCACAATGAACCCGCATAAAATGCTTTGAGTGTGGGACAGGACACATTGTGAGGCAATGCCCGTATATGTATTCAAGAAGAGACTCACAATGAGCAGATAGAAATAAACGCTCAAAGGTTGAGGAGAAGGAACATGCAATCAAGGAGGAGTAAATCGTCAAGATCCGCAGTAAATCCACAACCACTGAGACAGAGGAGGAACTAGAAGAAACAACAATCCAGGAGAATTAGAGGAGCAGAGAAGGGTGGAGAAGCAGCGGAAGAAGCAGTCGCCATCGAGCCGAGGAGAGGATATGAGGAGAGTGTCAGCAGAGGGGTGACCGCACTCAAATTGTAACATCAGGGGAAAAAGCTGCTGGTTGCCTGTAATAGAGGTGTGAGAGGAGTTCAGTGCTTGGTGGACACCGGGAGTTCCAATACTATCATGATTCGGGGATCATAGGAAAAGCTGTATAGTGGAGAGAGGACACTCAAAATCCACATATGTAACTGTAAGTTAATCACCCTGGGTGGCCCATGTGGAGTAGAGGGGAAGTAGAGATAGGATTAAGGAGGTGGGCACCTAAGGGAAGTAACCTTAAGGTGCCTGTGGTGGGAGAAATGCCCCGGGAATACCGAGTAATTATAGGGTGTGATATTAGCCCTGGAGCCAGGGGCCAAAAATCGAATTGATTGTAAATTACGAAAGTGTATGTTATTCTGAGTAAAAAGAACCTTGTCTGCCGTTCCAGAGCTGCTGCTTTCAAAAATGGAAGCTGATTTAAAGAATATTAGGCCAATAATTTGAGGATGGAAATGGGAAATCCATTGCGAAACATGTGAGAAAAGTTTTTATTTTTTTAACTTGTATATATGGGTTTGGACATGTAAAAAACAAAATTTTTAACGCGGGCCACCAAGGGAAAACTTTTTACAGCCAAAAAAGTCAGATTTTTTCGATATTTTTGGGGTTTTTCACCTATAACTCCTAAACGATGCATCAAAGGGAAAAATGAACTCTATAATAAATTAAAGAACTAAATAAATTAAAGAACGTTAAATTTTGTGTCAAACGATTACATAAACATTACAATTTGGTTATGCGGTAAGGTATAAAACCACGGTCAACCAATGCTGATTTTTGCCAAATTTGTCAAAAACTGAGACAAATTACTACAAATGGCTCTGTAACTAGGATATGAGTTCTCTAAGAGGAAAAACCCATAGAATCAAAGTTGTAGAGCATCAAATTTTGCATCTACTGAGTACCAACTAATTTAACGTAGGTCACTTTCTGCGAACAAAATCGGTAATCTCCCAATGGTTAGAAATTGGTAATGAAGGTAAACGTGATTTTCAATATTTCAACAGTATGGTTGTCTATTCTACTGAATTAGTTTTGTTTAGAGTCTGTTACATGCAGTATAAGCCTCTTTTCTACCTCTCAACAGCAATGGATTTTTGTAAATGATGTGCCGAAAGATACCAAATTTTATAAAGGAATAACGAATCCTGATTCGAGATATATAATTTGCCCACAATAAAAATGTCAATACTCAGTTGACGCAAAATTTGATGCTCTACAAATTTGATTCTAGATGGGTTTTTCCTCTTAGGGAACTCATATCCAAGTTACAGGGCCATTTATAGTAATTTGTCTCAGTTTTTGAGAAATTTGGTAAAAATCACCGTGGTTTTATACCTTACCGCATAACCAAATTTTAATGTTTATGTACTCATTTGACGCAAATGTTCTTTAATTTATTATAGAGTTCATTTTTTGCTTTGATGCATCGTTTAGGAGTTATAGGTGAAAAACCAAAAAAAAAATCTGACTTTTTTGGCTGTAAAACGTTTTCCCTTAGTGGACCGCGTTAGCAACTTTGTTTTTTACATGTCTAAACCCATATATACAAGTTAAAAAAATAAAAACCTTTCTCACATTTTTCCCAATGGATTTCCCGTTTCATCCTCAAATTATTGGCCTAATATTCTTTAAATCAGCCTCCATTTTTGAAAGCAGCGGATCTGGAACGGCAGACAAGGTTCTTTTTACTTTCACTTACGTATATATGTAATATATAGTAAGGGTAAGTATTGCGATCGTGAAAATTTTGGAATCTCAGTTTTAAACAGAAATACATGTTTTGAGGTCCCCTGAGTTCAAATAACCAAGAGCCGCAAAATGGTCTGTGTGTGTGTGTTAACAGTCTAGCTCATAAACGAAAAGTAGTACGAAACTGATATTAAGTATTTAAGGTTTGTATATGGGCCGGATGTGACAGCAACTTTTTCGTTAAAATTGGCTAACCGGAAGTGCCACTTTATATGAACGCTGAAACACATTTTTACAATTTTCTCAAAAACGACTAACGATTTTGATCAAACTCGGTGTATCATTGTATAATTAAGTGGTCTTTAATATCATTTAGGTCTTATCCCCGTTGATGTGACTTTACAGGGCTTAAATGCCCATTGTTCATATATGTCTTCCTTTAAAGTACCTTTAATATGGTTTATTTTAAAAAGTTAACCATTTCGGATTATTCGGAGTTACGAAAAAATGCTACATATAACTTTTGAAAGAATTCGATAAATTAATAAAGGATAAAAATGCAGAAAAACCTGCGTTCCTACAGACTGTAGCGCCTAAATGAATGTACCGATTTCAATGAAACTTCGCTAAAGTCATTTTCTCGACACACTTAAATTTATCTATATAACATACTTCAACGAAAAGAAGCGGGAAAAAAGTTAGGAAGAATGTTAAAATTAAATTCCAAATAACTCAAAAAGTATACACTTTTTGGGGATATTGTAGATGGTTTTTTAAAAGTTTATGGAAATTCCTAAAAAAACAAAAAAAAATCGTTAAAATCGGACAATTAGGAGGAAAGATATGGTCTCTAGTTATTTTCCCTGAAGAGGTGAAAATTTGGATAAATTTAAAATATATTTTTTTAATTGTTGAGACTTAAAAAAACCTTTTTTCTACAGATATTTAATAAAGTGTCTTTCCTAAGAACATCTTTCATAAGAAAGTAGTACCTAAATTTATACTTTTATTCTCAGTTCTATATTTCAACACTGCAATCACTACTTCTGGAATCAACTTACTCATTGTCTGCATAGATAACTTTTTCAACTAAAAATATCACTGAAATGACATCACTCAAAAATATTGAAATTGGAGGTAGTCATTCTGTGGTTTATAAAATTAGATATAGTGAATTGATTTTTATTGCCTGTCTTCCATATATTAAATAGACATTTTGTAATTATAATGGTCTTAATGACTTGTTATCTGTAAGCTTTAAGCTTTAGCTCCCTTTAAAATGCACTTCAAAAAGTTTTATAATAGCCCAGCATTGCCAGAAAATAATTTCTATTCAAAGTAGATCGGTAAGTGAAAGTTGTGTGTTGCGCGCACCAGATTTTTACTCATAATAACACACACTTTCGTAGTTTACAATCAAGCCTTCACCTGCGATCAGGTCGATTTTTGGGCCCTGTCTCCAGGGCTATATGTTAGGGAAGATGGGCACGCAAATCACAAATAAAGGGGAAATGTGCAGTAGTCGAAAACGTCGGGCGGTTTCTAGTCCTTTCAGTCTGGTGTGGGGGTTCCAAGTGAGTCGTTCGTCCAGGTGGAGTCCTAGGTATCGGATTTGTTGGACAGGGATAAGAGGGCTATTGTTAAAGGATACTGTAGGACAGGAAGTCATAGGTTTACGACGAAGAGTGATGGTGATTTGATGGAATTTATTGGAATTTATTTTAATCTCCCAGTTTTGACACCATTTTTCAAGACTTGTGATGTGTGATTGAATAGTTCAGGATGCAATAGATGGATCGTTATTAACTGATAGGATACACGTGTCATCGGCATAGGTGGTGATGATAGTGTTGGATATTACCTATATTAATATGTATATTTGGAACTTCGTCTGGTAAATGTTACATTTTTAAATGCTTAAATAAAATAGAAATGTCTTCTGGTAAAAATTCTTAATCACTTGATGCTTATGTCACTTATCAATTACACAGGACATCTTAAACATAAAACACGAAACTATTTGAATTTATATATTTCTTGTGAAATCATTTTTATATCATCACTTACTGATTTTAAAAAAAGTCCTATTTAACGTGACTCATACAGAGAACCTTAATTTTGTTAAAGAGCCGTTACTGTCTTGAAAATACTCACTAAAGTCGAAATCCTGATCCAGACTACAAGAACCTGTGCTAAAGAAACAGACTCAGTTTTGCTATCAATTTCATACATTATTATAAATGCAAAACTTAACACATTAACATTAATCACACCTTCATTACTTACTTTTACTTTATTACTTTACGAAATGGCAGTTACGGAAAGGTTACTATCCAAATTTGACTGCCCTTGTTTCTTCCCTAGTTTCATCCAAAGACTGCAGTGTACTGTGGAATTTACAGAGTATTGTTCCGACTATTGTGCCTATCCTGACCTTCATTAAAGTTATCTTTATTGCCATCAGCAACCAATAAGTAAACAGTGCACTTAAAGGACCAAAGACAGATTTTCCATTCTGGTAGGGGAGAGGGAGGGGCGATGGATACTCCCAAAAAACAGGTTTCGGGAATTTATATTATGTACAAAAATTACGAGTGATAATTAACGTACAAAATACAATGTAACATAATTAAAATAACATATAGTAAAATGAAGGATATAATACTCTATATAATAATAAAATGATATATATTGTAAATATATTTTTTTTGTGTGTGTATGGTTATATTTGAAAATATGTTAATTAACCAAATGAATATGTCTCATAGTTTTATTTGTATTTAAGCGTTTGGGTCAGTAAGATGAACTCATCACTTCATATTCATAGATCCCAGTGTGGTCTAAACCTCAGTACAGAGCATATGATAGAAGTTCAGCTAGTTTATAATCAGCTGTTTTAACAGTTTTTAGATAGAGTTATGTCATAATTTTTGGTTAGAACCAACTATTAATTGTGCTATATCCATGGACAGGATTGATTCTTCACTACACCGACATCTTACGTCTGAAGAAGAAAGGAAGCAATCTCAGTTTTAGATGGCTTAAGGTATCTATCGTATACATTTTCGATAAGAATAGAAGTGGAGAGTGCATGCGCATAGATAAGACTACCCACTAGATATCTCCAGTGTCTCCAGTGACAAGGTTGGGGCTGCGTCATTTTTTTACCACTTCACTTACATAATTTTTTTTCTTTTTTCTCACACCCATCAAGTTAGATCTATGCCCAATTTGCAGACAGACCATAGTTAGAGAAGATAAAAAAACATTAGCATGCTCTATTACGACGTGTCATGTCATTTTTCATGGCAAATGCTTAAACACAGTTGAGGGTGAATTTGAAGCACTAAGGGCATGACGAAAATTTGGGTATGTCAGAAATGTGAAAAGGCCCGGAAAAATATCCAACTGACAGACAAGTGCTCTAGCCTCCCAAGATCGGCTCCACAACAACTAACTGTCGACGTCACATCACAATTGTTACTCACTACCATCATAAAGATCTTACAGAAGAGGTCAAGGAATTAAAATTCTTCCTCTATACCAATACTAGCAAGGTGAAAGAACTAAAAATATCCCTCGAAAAGCAAGCCTCTATAACTTTTGAGAATGTGGCGAAATTGGACACTATAGAATCACAACTGGAGGCTCAAAATTATAAGATCGATGGACTGGTCCTGGAAAACACGACTCTCAAGTCTCGGGTCTTGGAGCTCGAAATTAGGCTCAACAAAAGTGAGCAATTGCACCTTTCCAGTTCAATAGAAATAAGAGGGATCTCAGTGAGATCTAGGGAGACTCTGATGAATGTAGGGACTGGCCTGGGCCTGAGTTTAAAGGTGGAGGACATAGACTGTGCAGAACGGATAATATCCAGACAAGATGATACGCCCAGTCGCTCAGGGAATGAGTTGGTCCAGAGGTGAAAGGTTAAAGGGACTTTTCAACACTCAACCTTGGATGGCAAGAAAAAGATGCCCACAAGATTTACCTAAGCGAAGCTATGTGCGTAATCAACCAACACTTGTATTGGTTGGCCTGGCAAAAGAAATCTGTTGGGAAAATCAGATACGTATGGTTTAGTGCAGCCAAGGTGGAATGTCGACGAGAAGATGGCCAGCAGGTTGTCGTCATCAACTCACATGTTTGCTCAGACTTACACATGTTTGCTTGACATGCACACACATGTTACATTACTTTGTACAATTTTGTTTTTACTTTCTCATATCTTCAGATGTATGTTTTTGTTACTTTTATATTAAAATATGGATCAACTTATTTTCAACTGTATTCGAGCAACTATGCTATTCATTGTGTTCTTATTTTCAAAATTGTTTAATTAATATGTTGTTTTTGTTTTCTAGGATATTAATATTGATTTAGAGAAGTTACCAAGTAATACTGCATACCATACTGCTGGGACCTGTCTTAATCCAAAATTAGAAAAACTGGAATTCCCACGAAATGATATCATATATGTTCAAGATTTGGGACAAGGAGCATTTGGTCGTGTTTTTCAGGTTTAGTTTTTTTTCATAGTCCTTTATTTTAACTTTAATTTTTTATGGCTCTGATCTTAATTGTTTTAGCCTATGTTAGAACTAAATAGATTCTATGCTTTGAAGTGTTATATATTTTTCCAATTTTTTTGAGATTTAGAAAACTAGTTTTAATATGTTTTAAAAATGATACATCTTTTTTAATTTTATTTGGCAGTTGTTTTTATTGCCTTCTAATTTACTCGTTGTTGACACATGAACTCTCACTGTTGGCAATGGGAGACATGGTGATTCATTTAAATATTCTGACATAAGACAGCTCAGCTTTTCATTATTTATTAATTTTTTTCTTCTCATAAATAGTTCTAATGAAATCCATATATCCGAGGCTGTGTATTGTTTTGAAAACTTAAGGTTTTTCATGGTTGGTGGATAGTTAGCCCACCGAACCAACCCTCCTCCTTTGGGCTTGGGACAGGCAACTACCTCTGAATGAGACAGCAGGCAGAGTTCCCTGAAAACATCATAAGAGAGTATTAGGAAGGCTTTAGGCCTGGAAGATCAACAGTTGACCAGGTATTCTCTCTGAGACAAATAATGGAAAAATATTATGAATTTAAAATAGACATGCACCTTCTATTTGTGGACTTCAAACAGGTGTACAACCGTGTAGACAGAAAGGGACTTTTGAAATCTATGATAGATGTAGGGAATACCCAAGAAACTGGTCAGACTTACAAAAGTGACGCTAATGAAGACTACCTGTCGAGTAAAACTTGTAAATTCGCTGTCCGAAGAATTTGAGGTGGATAATGGCTTGAGACAGGGTGATCCTCTATCTCCCTTTTTTTTTAATCTATCCCTGGAAGTGGCATTCGTTCTATTCGAACAAATCCAGGGGGAACAATCTATACAATCATCTGTCTCAACATCTGTCCTATACCAATGATGTTAACATTATACCTAGGACTCAAACAGCATTATCAGGAACTTTCCAGGAATTCAAAGAGGCAGCATTTAAACTGGGCCTTAGAGGTAATGGAAATAAGATGGTGTACATGAAAAGTTCAAAAATGGAAAAGGAAGTGAATATGGAAATAGCTTTAAGGGATTACAACTTTAGGTCTGTTGACCAGTTTAAGTATCTTGGAATCCTGGTGACATGCGATAATAAAATAGAGAGTGAAATATAGAGACTTGAAATTCTCTATATTTATTTGCACGCTCAACTCCTGGGAGAGAAAAGTGTTGAGAAGAATATTGGGCGGAATATTTGAGAATGGAATATGGAGAAAAAAGAATGAGGATCTGCAGAAACTTTATGGAGAACCTGATATTGTGGAATTGATAAAAAGAGCCAGAATTAGATGGTTAGGTTATGTGGAAAGAATGCCAAAGAGGATGCTGCATGAGAGCCTGATGGCAAAAGAAGTAGTGGACGCCCTTGGATCAGATGGCTGGAGGATGTGGAGGACGATCTGAGGTGGCTGGGCTTTCGATGATGGAGGGAAGTAGCACAAGACTGTGGAGATTGGTTGACTGTAGTGGAGGAGGCCTGGGTTCTTGCAGGACCGTAGTGCCTTAATAATAATAATAATAATAATAATAAAGTTCTAATGAATATTTCTAGATATTTTGTACATTGTATATGTAAGAATTTAACTATTTTTATGAAAATGGATATTTTTTTCCTATGACTAGATCTTCTAAATATCAATATATCTAGATATTCTTCCTGTAAAATAATAAAATGTATAGAAATACATGTACAAATTTAACTGTTTCCAAAAAAACGTATATTTTTTACTATTATATTTTTAATATTAAGAAATTATATGTATGATAAGACACCGTTACAGTAAGCTATCTATGATAATGATGAAGGGTTACCCAAATCCAGTTACAGTTTTCGATGAGGAGAGGGAGGTTAATTGGTTTTCTAAATCCATATTTCTCAAATAATTCTCTCTCTCTCTCTCTTTCTCTCTCTCTCTCTCTCGCAATAGATAAACCCTCAGTCTGAGACAGTCTCAAAATATTTTTTCTACTAATGTTTCTTGTGAATATCAAAACTTAATATTTTCTTCAATCATTTATAACCATAGCCCATAGTTAAAAAAAATCTCATACATTTTTGAATCAGTTAACTTATGTATTAATTATTATATTTTAGAATAATGAGCTAGATTTATTTGTCTATAAGTTTTTGTTTTTAAATTGTAATTTTGTTTTAGGCAAAAGCTCCTGGTCTCTTGAAAGGTGAAGAATTCACTTTAGTTGCTGTTAAAATGCTGAAAGAAGAGGCATCTGATGATTTACAGTTAGATTTTGAACGAGAGGCTTGTTTATTAGCTGAATTTGATCACCCTAATATTGTTAAGTTGTTGGGAGTGTGTGCAATAGGCAAACCTATGTGTTTACTATTTGAATACATGGGGAGAGGAGATCTTAATGAATTTCTAAGATCATGTTCTCCTAGTAACTATATTGTTCATGCAAGTGAAGGGAGTGAAGTTTTTAAAGATGTTCAACTTACTGCAGCAGATTTGTTGAGGATTGCGCAACAAATTGCTAGTGGAATGGTTTATCTTTCTGATAGAAAATTTGTTCATCGAGATCTTGCCACAAGGAACTGTCTTATTGATGATTCAATGGTTGTTAAAATAGCTGATTTTGGACTTTCTCAAAAAATGTATCTTCAGGATTACTACAAAGGAGACGAACATGATGCTATTCCTGTAAGATGGATGCCATTGGAAAGCATTTTGTATAATAAATATACTATTGAAACAGATGTTTGGGCTTTTGGTGTTTGTCTATGGGAAATATTTTCATTTGCTCTCCAACCTTATTATGGTATGACACATGGAGAGGTTGTCAAATATATCAAAGACGGAAATGTTCTTCAATGTCCGGAAAATACTCCAAAATGTATTTATAACCTCATGAAACACTGTTGGAATAAAAAACCTTCATTAAGGCCCAGTTTCCGCACTGTTCATCAAAATCTTCAATTAATATTGGATGAAACATTAAAAGAGAATTCCCATGCTTTGACTTCATATCAACAGTCACCTCAGTGATAAAACAATGTCAGTTTAGCTATGTATAAGCCTAAATGATTGACCACTTTTATAAAATTATTTTAATTATTATTGTGAATAATAAATTGAAATTCATTTTGAAGTTTCTAAAGCAAAATGAAATGATTTGAAGATGTGATATTTATATCTAATAATTTGTATTTGTTTAAGCTAATTAATTTCTCATGGATTAATGTTCTTTCTTAGTGAACTCTTGATGGTATATTTATTAATAACAGGAAAAATTCCATTTCATTTTATATGTTAAGTTTTTGTATAAAGACAATTACTTGTTTTAATCTTAATGTGTTATTTTGTTAGTTATGTTTATATAAGTATCCTAATAGCCTGATTTTTCTTTTAGAATATAGGATATAAATTTTTTATATTGTTATTTATGATCTTTCATTTTCTATATTTTGTTCCTAAATGTTACTTAAGATATATGTAACTTATTACCACATTTACTTATTTATATCTTTTATAGAAAGCTATGAATGGTTATTATGAGCCATTTTTAATTTAGTGTATATATTCTTACATGAGAATAGCATTTTGTACTATGTAATTATTTTCTGACTCATTTACTACATTTTTTTAAATTTAGGTTCCCACCTATCAGTTAGGAAGGGATAGGTCAAATATGACTGTGTTCATCTTTTATGTAATTTTTTATTAATGAAAATACAAGACAATATTTAAAAGATACATTCAAATTGTCTTAAATGTAAAACTTGTAATATGAAGTGTTTATTTTTTTTAATAAATAGATGTTTACGAATATATATTTTTCCTTTTCTTTTCATATTTGTTATTTGAGTTGACCATTTGAAATTTTTTATTTATCTGATTACTTATATTAATAAATTATTTATTGTTGATGATTAAATGCTTCCTTTTAAATATTGAGTTTGGACTGTGGACGGAACAGGTCACACTTTAATTCTGCCCGTGTTTGGTGCTGGTTGTGATTATTTAAAGTTATTTGTTTCAATTTTATTTTATATTGACTGTTAGATCTTTTGATAACGGTTATCACTGTTACATAATTATTTCAATTAAACGTATTGCAATTAACATATTTCATTATGAGTGATATTGTTACAGAAGAGCAAGGTAGTGGGGGTATTGAAATGGTAAACAAAAGATTGGGCAGAAGGATGCTGAAGGTTATCGGTCTTTCAACTTACTCTTTAATAACCTTGAATCTCTACAAATGAAATACTATTGTTGCCTAAAGATTTGACTTCTATGGATAAAAGAATTACTGATAATTTTAATAGATACAAATCAGAGGTATTAAATATAAAAAAAGGAAAATTTGACATTAAAAAAAGAAGTTGCATCTTTAAGACAACATTTGGCTGCAACTGATCAATATCACCAAAATAATGGAATAAAATTAATAAATATTCCCCAAATGAAAGGGAAAGACATTTTTTCTATAATCAAAAACATAAGTAATAATATTGGCTTCTAGTTAGACGAAAAAATAATTATCTGTTTTTACAGAATAAAAACTAACTCAGGTAAAGGGCCAATGGTGGTTAATTCCTAAGATATATTGATAAAACTGAATTCCTTAAGTTATATAGATTCAAGAAGAATTTGATTAACAGGGAATTGTTTAATATAACCTCAGCTTTAGGGTGTATGTGTCAGAACTGTTATCTCCCTACAGTGCTAGGCTTTTTAAACAGATTAAGTCTGAACAAGAGAAATATAATCTAAAATATTTATGGACGAGGAATAATCGGGTTCTAGCCATACATGATGACGGAACTCCTACAATTGCTTTCCTACAGAGGAAGATATCCAAAAAATAGCTTCTAAATTTGGCGACGTTACTTCCGAGAAAGATTATTCTGGCGAGAAAAAGGAAACAAAAACAGATACAAGCGAGGCGAGTAGAAAATATGGCGGTTCATGGAAGAAGAGGAAGGTAGGAAAGGCGGCTAAAGCTATTTCATCACAGAAGTCATTGGACAGTTTTTTACGAAAGTAGAAGAAAACAAATTAAAAAAATGTTTGTTTAAAGGTAATTTGTTTAGTATTGTTTATCTTAATATTGAAGGTTATGTGTCGGCAGCAGATTCTCACCACTTGCTACAGGGGACGACTAGTTCACCTACCCGCTACCTGGTAGCGCCGCACAAGCTCGCTAGTGTAATGTACTTAAACAATTGTATTTTTGTTTCTTATTGTTATATGATAAAACACTCAAATTGTAAATTGAAATATATATTTATATTGTAAATACATTAATTATTAAATAAAAAATTAAATAATTTTTTATTAATAAAGTTTAATGGTGATAACATATACTGATCAAAGCTTAAAAATAACTGTAATTGTAACGGCTCTTGATAGCCGATTTAGTCATGGCGGAATGAATACCGCATTCCTTACCCAAAGTTGTTATAGCCACGGAGCCAGGGCCCAAAAATCGACCTGATCGCAGGCGAAGGTTTGATTGTAAATTACGAAAGTGTATGTTATTCTGAGTAAAAAGGAACCTTGTCTGCCGTTCCAGAGCCGCTGCTTTCGAAAATGGCGGCTGATTTAGAGAATATTAGGCCAATAGTTTAAAACGGGGAAATCCATTGCGAAAAATGTAAGAAAAGTTTTTATTTTTTTAACTTGTAAATGGGCTTAGACATGTAAAAAACAAAATTGCTAACGCGGCTCACCAAGGGAAAACTTTATACAGCTAAAAAAGTCAGATTTTTTCGATCTTTTTTGGGTTTTTCACCTATAACTTCTAAACGATGCATCAAAGCAAAAAATGTATTCTTTAATAAATTAAATAACGTTAAATTTTGCTTCAGACGAGTAAATAAACATTAAAATTTGGTTACGCGGTAAGGTACAAAACCACGGTCAACCAACGCTGATTTTTACCAACTTTGTCAAAAACAGACAAATTACTATAAATGGCTCTGTAACTTGGAAATGAGTTCCCTAAGAGGAAAAACCCATACAATCAAAGTTGTAGAGCATCAAATTTTTCGTCTACTGAGTACAAATATTTTTATCATAGTCCAATTATATATCTCGAATCAGGATTCGTTATTCCTTTATAAAATTCGGTATCTTTCGACATATCATTTACCAAAATCCTTTGCTGTTGAGAGTTGGAAAAGAGGCTCATTAGAATAGACACCCATACTGTTGAAATATTGAAAATCACGTTTACCTTCATTACCAATTTCTAACCATCAGGAGATTACCGATTTTGTTTGCAGCGAGTGACCTATATTAAATTATACATTTTAATTAAAGAATACATTTTTCGTTTTGTTTAGGAGTTATAGGTGAAAAACCCGAAAAATATTGAAAAAATCTGAATTATTTGGCTGTAAAAAGTTTTCCCTTGGTGGCCCGCGTTAGCAATTTTTTTTTTACATCTCTAAACCCATATATAGAAATTAAAAAAATAAAAACTTTTCTCACATTTTTTGCAATGGATTTTCCATTTCAAATTATTTTATTATAATATTATTGGCCTCAAATTATTGGCCTAATATTCTTTAAATCAGCCGCCATTTTTGAAAGCAGCTGCTCTGGAACGGCAGACAAGGTTCTTTTTACTCAGAATAACGTACACTTTCGTAATTTACAATCAAACCTTCGCCTGCGATCAGGTAGATTTTTGAGCCCTGGCTCCTTTATTAGGTCCTCTATTAGGTCATCAGATTTCCACCCCTTCAGGGTATAGCCCTCTACGTAGTTGATCAGTGTATGATACATATACGCTTTTTGGTCTTCAACAAACTGCTTTTCATTTCACTGAATCCATTAACCTTTTATCCCTTGCTCTTACTCTATGCAAGTCTGGATGGTGATCCATCAGCTTTTATTCCTATATACTAAGGCAGGATACAGATCCCTCCATAGTATTTCATCCTCCCATAAAGTCTGCTGATTGATCTCTCCGTTTGTGGTTGCCACCATAGCGGCGTGTTAAGATCACTTACACCGCAGACCAAGAATGATTAGGTGCTGATCCACCTGACACTTAAGGCCATCCTTCTACTCATTTTCCATCATCCACTGAGACATTTTACCTTCTTTACTGAACACGCACTGTCGAGGCCTTCTGATAACTGAATTTTCTGCACATTTACTTCGACAGTTATAGTCGATTTTGAATGTAGATTTTGAGGTTATCTATATCTGGTCAGTTTACGGATATTACAGATAGAGGGTATAGTGTTTTAGATACTGTTTGGATATCCCCGGCTATGATCGATTTCATTCAAGATTGAAAAGTTTGGGGAGTTTCAGAGCTAAGTTGTCATTTGCCCGTAGTTGTTTATTTAAATAATTTGAATAAAGAAACAGCGAAAATTGAGGTGAAGAAAAAAGAAAAATACTATTCAGATTTAGATAAAAAAAATTTATTAGTTTCAAACGCAAATAACATTTACTTTAATTCTAGTTCAGTGAATGTTTTGTATAAAAATATGATTGATTTTTTTTTGAACTGTGCACTCAAATCTTTACTTCTCAAGCGAAAATGTTTTGTTTATCTCCGTAAAACTTTTAAAGATAAATTGTGCAGAGAAGCAAAAAAAACTTCTAAGAAAATTTCTTAAGACATTAAAGCGTGAAGGTTATTCACAGGAAAATGACAATGTTTATATCGATTATAAAAAAACAATACAAATAAAGTGTAACTGCAGGAAAAAAAAAAATATGATTGCCTTTCAGACTCATTATCAGATGTCAAAGTGGTTAAAGTGTTTTGGCAAACTATAAAACATTTTAATTGGCCGAATACGGTTTCTACTGAACCATTTATCTCATCTTATAAAGAATTTTACGCTGGTAAGGACTCTCTGGCTTTATATCCACCGACTCCGTTTTAGAATTAGATAATCCTATAACTTTGGACGTACTTCAGAAAGCGATTAGAGAAACTAAATTGAAAAAAGCATTTGGCACTGATCAGTTGCCGTATTAAGTTAATAAACTTATGCCTCCGAATTGGGAGCACTACTTTCTTAACCTTTTTTACAACGTTTTTCAAAATACTATTGTTCCGGAAAATGGGGTGAAATCCTCCTACTCCATTTGTAGAGAAAAGGCGATGTTAAAGAACCCGCTAATTACAGGGCTGATGTTAAACTGTTTACAACTATTCTAGCTGATAGAATTAAATGGTTGGACGGGTAGAGGCTGCGTTGATGGTATTTTTATTTTAAACTCGGTAATAATATTTCAATGGTCTACAAAGACAATAAGGTCTTTGCGACATTTGTTGACTTTGAGCGGGCATTTGATTCATTGGATTATACAAAATTGTGGCAAAAACTTCATAGGCTTGGATTGAGTTCAAAAATAATAAATATTTTACGAGAATTATACGAACAAGCTACTATAATTTTAAAGGATGAACTTCATATGGAATCAGTTAAAATCAGTCAAGCAGTATTATAGGGAGATTATCTTAATCCTCTAATATTTTCATTATTCATCTCAGATATAATGTATCATTTTAAAAATGATGGATATATTGGAATAAATATTGACCATACAACAGAAATATCCGGACTGATACATGCAGATGATTTAGTTTTACTTGATAATGGTCGTAACTAATAAGAAATTAGTTCCCCTGAACAAGTATTGTCAATTAAATTCGTTAATTGTTAATGTTGGAAAGACAAAATGTGTGATTTTCAAAAAATATGGTAATATGATTAAAGTTAAACCTCCCTTCTATAACATATTTAAAATTGGTATAATTAAACAGTATAATTATTTAGGAGTGTTTTTTCAG